CTGTCAGAGAAATGGGCTTTCAGTCCAATGGGACCTGTTTTGGACCAACGGAGCTTTAGAATTTTGGGCTGTTGTAACAAATGGGCAGTCCCCTATATGTGTAAGTAACTAAGACACGTAATTAACATGCTGAGGAGACAATTAAAAGGGATATAAGACAAGAAAATGTTTGTCAATCAATACCATGTTCAATATGAACTTGGATCCGGGAGACAGTTAGCATAGCTTAGCATGCAGACTGAAAACAGCCTTGCAAACTCCACATGATCCAAAATGCAGCAGCACGTCTACTCACCAAGACTAAACATCGAGAAGGCTCTTCATTGGCTTCCCGTTCATTTAAGAATTCGTTTTAAAATTTTGCTTTTAGTTTTTAAATCTCTTCATGGACTGGCTCCTGACTGTTTATCTGACATGTTAGTCAAATACATTCCGTCTAGATCCCTAAGATCCTCCACCTCTGGTCTATTAAATGTGCCCCGGACGGCTTCAAACGAATTCTTAAAAACTTCTTTTCAGACTTGCATTTTTGTAGCTTTTATTTAATTAATTGGTATCAAACCTAATTCATACTTTTCATGTGTGTGTGTGTGTGTGTGTGTGAGTATGTGATGTATTTGAATCTTATTTTTATGTGTTTTTTCTCATTGTATTATGTAAAGCACTTTGAGCTGCACTTGCTGTATGAACTGTGCTGTACAAATAGTTATCATTACTATTATTGCACTGTCTAAAGCTAACAATAATCTCCATATCTGCACATTTAAAGCTCATTAATGAACCTGTTAGATTTGTTTAATCCATACAAAAAACAGACCAGTTGCCAGAGGAAAATGTTGGCATTGTACGTTTCAGCAAACCACAAATATATTACATTTCTATGTTTCATACGTATTATATCAATGTTTCTAAAGTGACGAAATATATGAGCTTACGCTGACATCGGGAGGTGGAGGGGACAGTGGATGCTGTGACACCTAGGCTTTTAATGTCATGTGTTGTGGAGCAGGTTGACCCAAATGAGACTGCAGGCAACAGGAACTGGAAGAAAATCACTTTTTATTCAAGGTAAGCACAGAGAAAAGCAAAACTGATGATCACAGAACAAAACAAAGGATCCAACAAAGACCACACTGAAAGCCAGGGGATGACAAAAAAAGGGTAGAGAAGGTCAGATAAGGGGAAACAGGTGATTAAGCAGCAGAATGGGCAGGGAGCTGATTGACTGGGAAAAGCTCTGAAGCTGGGAAGGACTAATGAGGCTGATGCATGGCAGGTGTGTAGAGGGGCAAATGAGGAAAAGGCAGCACAGGGACACAGGAGGGGAAAGAACACAGTACAGAAACCCAAAAACCCAGAAAACACAATCCTCTTAATAATAGACCGACAGGAGTGAAAACAAAGACAAACCAACTAATATATTACAAATAGCCTACAACTCAGTCCAGTCTTCTCAAAAAGTCTAAATGGCATCAGGACACAGAGCAGACTGAGAAAAGATGCCTACCAAGCTGCAGGCCACTGCAGACAACTGTGTTAAACCAACACATGACAAAACCAGTTGTTTTTTAGCGACCCCTCACTGTTTCCGGTGGCTTTTAGCTACCAAATATGTTTTTTAGCGACATATCACCTTTTTTCACACCGGAGATTGTGGCTCAAAAAGTGGCTGTTTGTAACGAGACATCGACAGCTTCTCCAGTCAGGATTGTGCCCCAAACCAGGTTTTATTAAGCCAAATCATGACCTTTTCCTTACCCTAAACAAGTGTTTTTTTGTGCCTAAACCTAACACAGTAACCACAGCATTGTTGAAATGTAAAAACGTAAAGTTTCAACGTATCTACTAAATAATAACATGCAAATGTAACGTATTCCTGATTTGCAGAAACATAAAATGCCAACATTTTTTCCTGGTGACTGGTATGACAAAAACCTAAACGTACAAACAGCATGTGTTTATTGCAGGACTATTTAGCCCTATTTCCACTGAGCAGTACAGTACAATACAGTACAGTACAGTACAGTACAGTTCAGTTCGGCACACTTTTTTTCTGTTGCCACTGTGAAAGTTGTGGATGGTAGCCTACCAATAGAACTGTTCAGTACCATCCCCATTTTTGGTCCCCCCTCTGTTGGGGTACCTAGCACACAGATCTGGTACTAAAAGGTGGAGCTGTGAACACTGCAGTCTGTTGACTGGTCAATAGAGGACGGTAACTCTGCTCACGGCTGAGTTGTGGCTGGTTTTGGAAAGTTTTATTGGTAAACTGTAACTATAAAATAAACAGATGTTTTACTGCCTCTCGCAGCAGCTGGAGTCAGAGAAAAAATAACTTTTAATTCACTGCACCGACTTTTAAGGTGACTTTTAAGGTTACTCAGTGCATGAGGTGACTTACATGGAAGCAATGACTTCATGCAGGCTCTGCTCATTGCCTGGCAACGACAGAGACAACAATACTAGGAAGTTGCTGCCAGTAGGCACGACTTACAATAACCTGTAAAACCACATAGTGTTGTTTTTATATTAAAACAGAGTAAACAAACAATATATGATGTGTTAATTAGGTGCTTGTTGGCAGATTATTTTAACTTCTAGGTGTTTCCCTGTGTCCACCCATTATGCTAAGATAAGCTATGCTATGCTAACGGGTCCATGTCATTGGTTCGACAGCCCATTGGTTCGACAGCCCATTAGTCCGACTGTCCACAGTGCTGAACGGCTTGCGGCGGGCGTGTGGTGCACCGCGACTGGCTTGAGGCAGAGCAGGCTCACGGCTTATGTGTTTGTCACTTTCTTTTTCATTTTAACCCACACCATGATCTTTTCCTGACCCTAACCAAGTGGTTTTTGTGCCTAAGCCTAACCAGACCTTAACCACAGGGCATCATGATGATTTCAGAATGGACTTCGGAACAATGAGTTTAATATGGTCGGATCAATGTGGTGTCGAACCAATGGGCTGTCGAACCAATGGGCAGTTCCCACGCTAGCTAGCTAGCTCACGTTAGCCTATCACATGAACACCAAATCCCAAAATGTCCAACTTCCTTTAGATACAAATATAAAAAGTCATTGCAAATCTGTTATCTACTGTGTGCTTTACACACAATGATTATTGTAGACACCCACACACGCCATCACAAACAAGTCTGTTTTTACTGCCATCCATCTTGATAACATTAAGATTTCAGACAGACCATTAACAAACAGTTGATTCATTCTGTCTTTCTGGGCCAGACAATACTGATAAAGTAGTCTTGTTTAAACAAAGTCAGTGCAGACAGCCAAAAAGATACTATACTGTGTGTGTGTGTGTGACGGAGAGAGCGAGAGATCCAGCTCATAACAGAAAGGGCTGATAAACACACACAAACACACGACTGGCGAGAACCAGACAGACAGGTCCTTATGCACAGTGAGTACTTCTCTGTGAAGCAGGGTGTGTGAAACAGGGAGTGCCCGAAACATACACACACACATAGAGACACACCAGACAAAAACAAATGTGAAAATACAGGGTTAGAATTGGTACAATAAACACCGTGTGGAGGCACATGTGTGTTTACTCAGTTGAAAGAACACGTTGGATCCCGTTTTGCCTCATGTTGAGTTTGTTAACAGTGTGTGTGTATTTCACTCAACAAACAAATCAATATAAATATTGTTGCAGTCATATTAATGATCTTTTTTATGGGTGAGTGTATTTTTATTTTTATGGACTGTTAAAGATTTTTTATATTTAATTTTGGCCATCCAGTGTTTGTTTCTATACAGTTTATTTTTGATAACACAACATCTTTTCACTTCCGAGTGACCAACTCCTACATCATCGAGGAGAAAACATGTATGTATGAGTGTTGAAATTCTGTTATAGTTTACAAACTGTCTTTGAATGTAACACTGCTCTGTATTCTTACTTTTAAAGCATTTCTGCCTTTTTGAAATAGTGGCAGAGACAGGCAAGAAAGGTCGGGGAGAGAGAAGGGATGATATTCAGCAAAGGGCCCAGGTCAGACTCGAACTTCAGCCGCTGCACTAAGGACTCAGTCTTAATGGTATACGTGCTCTGCACTGGGATGCCCCTACCACACTGTATTCTCTATCATACATCAGTGTTATCTTGATGTTACACTGGCAAAATGTCATATTTTAAGGGGAAATTCCAGTTTTGTTCAGTTTCGTCATATTTTCATACTTTTGTTCCCATTGGTTTTGATAACAATGTCCTCGCTCAGCTGATTTCTGAGATTACGGTGACTTCACTTAAAAGTCAGCGATGACACAGTCAGTCAGATGATCAGACATGAATGAAACAAACCTTACTTGGAAGTGAGCTCAAAGACGAACTGTAAAATTATCACCTGAACTGTATGTATGTAATCTACCACAGTTTAAAGTCCAACTTCCTGCTTCACCTTGACCTCCTGTACTTACAGTTGATTTATATGCACGGTTTGACTGTGTAGTGAAAGGCCATACTTACTAATATTTCAAGTGCACTCACTGTCAGGTTGATCAAAACAAAGTGGTTTAGATGATCTGGCTAAACTTTTGGGGCGTTAACAACCTGTCTCATTTCTTGTGTTTCATTTCCTTTTGTTATAATGAGGTCACCATTTTCTCACATCTCAGCAGCCAGTTTCTATTGTGGGTATAATGTTATCATAAAAAATAAAAATGATGGCCAAAACTGCAAAAATAAAACCTAAGTTATAATAAATCATAATTTTCCTTTAGTTGTAGGCAGATGTGGGGAATTCAAGTCACATGACTTGACTTGAGTCAGACTTGAGTTGCAAATTTGAGACTTGTTTGACTAACGCTGATAAAATACATGCCTTTGCTGGGTATTCATGACTTGACGCTTGACTAAGAATTTAGACAGATGACTTGAAAGGATGTGAATTTTTTCCATTAAATATTTGCATTTTTCTATGTATTGAAAAGTTAAGTTTTGTTTTTGAAACTTATTTTTATTTGTCACATGATGAGTGATTCACATGAGGGATTTCCATCTCAATGTGTGTTACCTTTGCAGCCAATTAGGATGCTGCAGACCATCAGAGGCCAACACATGAGGCAGCTATCCATGAGGCAACTAAAATAATTACACTTGGAATTATGTTGTCAATAACGTTAGTAAGAAGAAAACAGCGGTAAGCAAGGTCTGCAGCTCAAAATCAGTGACACAACCAACATCCCACTTCATCCATCACTGTAAAACCCACAAAGAAAGGTACGTGAATTTTTCTTTTCAGTTAATTTAATAGATTGTAGGTCATCAAAATTTCTCGACTTGACTCCTGACTTGCTTGACCTGAGTAATGACTTGTCTTGCTTGTCTTATCAAGGGATGACATTTTTGTAGGCAGATGCTAAAGTTAGCTTTACCCAGGTTTCCTCATCAATGAGCAGATGGAATTTCTCAGTTGGATTTTGGATTATTGCAGAAAATAAGCTCTGTGGCAAACAGAAGTTTATGATACTTACAAGTTTTGTCCAGCAAGATAAACTTTACAAATGGACACCACTTTAATTATTTTTGAAGCCTGAAAGCAATAGAAGTAAAAAGCTTATGTTAGGCTATAAATGAATGACATCATGGTTGCTTGACTTAACATCGCCACCTATAGACTGTATATAAAGATGAATGATGTGTCTCCACTTCCCCCACTTTACAAAGACAAATCCCAAATATCCTGGATACGGCCGCTGCCATCTTGCACAGGTGGCGGCATTTGGAGCATTAGTCTGCGCAGTAGCAATCTCCAGCAGTGTTGAGTTTCCGCCAAACACCTGTCTGACCAATCAAGAGTAGCACCACTGATAGCGGGCATACTGATTGGCACACACAGCTGTCAGTTATGACCTCAGTCCCCCTTTATTAACATCAAATAACCAACTAAAACCAAGCTTAACAGAAAAATGAACACTTGAACATAGAACACAGAAACCATCTTTGGGAAAAATGTATTTGACATATGCTTTGGGATTTTATTTTATCTATTTCACCACCACAACCAGGCTGTAAAGCTATGTTCGGCACGATGACGTTCTGTAGTCTCATTTAGCCACTTGTCAGCAACCGGCTTTTTCAAGGCACCTGAAGGTTAACAAATTTCTGCATTTGTGGTGCATTTACTGACATATTTTATGTTGTCGAACAAAACTTGCAAGTCTCTTAAGCTTGTGTTTAATCACAGACTTCATTTCAGGTGAGAAGCCTGAAATGAAGTCTGTGATTAAACACAAGCAACCAAAAAGCCATTCATAAACTGATTGACTTCCAGACGAGGAAACTGGGAGTGCAAAACTGCTAACTCATTTTCATATTTTAGAATTAATTCCTGCACTTCTCTATAGAAAGGACTTGCTTGATTCTCTTGACAGTAGCTTGGGACCCGCTTGAGACTCGAAAGTAAGACTTGGGACTTGCTTGCACATGTGTGACCCACCTCTGGTTGAAGGATATTTATGAGTATTTCTGGTGCCTGTTCTAAAACTCCAGCTTCAAAAGCTTCATGTGGTGAGCTGATGTGCGGAAACTGATGGTGATGAAGCAGAACTCTTTAGGAAACTCATTTGATGGCAGTAAGGGGAAGCTTTCACAACAGATGTTCAGGTCCTGCCAGCTAACAGGACTCTGCGTCACTCTCTGTGCCTCTCCTGACCTTGTGATCTCTTTCATAACAGGATAAACATTCGCAGCATCATACAGAGTAGATTCCAGGTAAGCTGTCTGTAACTTGTTAACCACATTGTCGTTTCTGTGGTTTGTTTCTCTTACTTTTTTATCGTTTCAGGAGCACATTTTCTTTTCCACAGAATCCCTCAAACTTTAGGTTCATAGCAGCAAACACACTCAAACTGTCAGATAAGTGAGATGCACAGACACACGTTATAAATATGGTCAGATCATTTGTGAGGAGTTGCAGACTACAGTTTTAAATTAGAGTTTCAGTAAGCCTGCCTGCTCCTGGTTCCAGAGAAACACGCACACAAACACAGTTCTTTGAAATCCTCCCCCACACTTGTGTTTTCACACTTAATGACAAAAACATAAACCACATTTCCCCTGAAGCCGGCACAAAGACTGGAATGGGTTGACCTTTGTAGAAACTGTCTTTGGGAGGCAGGAAATCGACTGCTCCAGTAGGCGAACTGGCCACCAGTGGCCAGACATTTTCTCTGTTGCATGATGTTGCCAGATAAACTGATACAGCTGGCCTTTGATGCTGGTCAAGTGATAATTAGGGGAAATACAGTATTTCTAGGTCACTGAAACTAGTAATGACGCAGTTTAACAGACACACCAACATGCACACTAACTTATGGATTTTTGTAGTAACATAAAAGCGTGATATAATGCAACTTACAAAAGAATAAAAAAGAATTATTTCGTATTCAACACCATGATTGAATTTTTATTCTTTTAAAAGGTCATGATTTCTATGCCAATATGAATTTAACTTACCCAACTTAATATACTTAATGTCATTTTCTATTGTCGAGCTAATTGCATTGTGTTATGGTGATTACTAATTCCCAGCCCTACGAATGAATGTCCGACAGCGAATGTGCTGGAGTCAGCAGGATGGCATCTTTGACTGTGGCGAGGAGCCAGAGCATTTAAGCCTGCAGCACCTCTACATATTGTTCTGTCTGCCACACAACAAAACCAGGGCCTCCGCTGCAAAATACAGCCAAGAGCAACACTGCTGAGCTGCAGTCAGAAGAGGCAGGTCAGGGGGCTGCTGGTGTACAAGTCAGTCAGTCACGCAAACATTTCTTTGCTTACATTCAGGTTGGATTCGTTGGTTTTGAGATACATGTTGAAAAATGACCAGCAACGAGGAGGCCAGACCGTTTGGTACCATGACAACAGCTGCCCCAGAGGTGAGTTCATGTCCACCCAGACTCTGCAACTTCTCTGAACTACTTTGTTGTTGTTGTTGTTGTTGTTGTTGTTGTTGTTGTTGTTGTTGTTGTTGTTGTGTTGGGCGTTTCATTTCATTGTGTTAAAGTGATTTTGTAAAATGACTTTTCAAATGTGACCGCTACAGGACACCCAGGGTGATGATATGAAGTCCAGACAGGAACAAGAGGAGAAACTGATCCTCACAGCCTGGCAAAGCATGGTGAGTACATGAGGAAAGGTATCCTTAAAACTGTATCCCTTAAAACACTTCAGTGAAAGGAACAGTGTGTGGGATTTAGGGGGATTTGATGGCATCTGCCTGAGGACTGTAGGTTGCAACCAGCTGAAACTTCTCCTAAATAGAATTCCTTCAGTGTTGATTGTTCAGGAGGTTTTAAGCGAGAGTCGAATTTTTCACGCAGGCCGTTGACGTTACATCTAAGTGTTTCTCCGATGCTGCTCAGCTTGTTGCAGACAGGCCGTTAGCCCTGGCAGCTAATTACTTAAGATCCAGACATTCAGGAGGTTTTTACCGGGAGCCGCATTATCTGTGGAGGTCTCTTCCTCACAAAAACAAATGGACCCGGTGATTAAAACTGGCAAAAACACTGACTAAAGCAGTTTCGTGTTAAAAGAAACATCTCTGGTTTTCTGACACCGCTCATTGTAGAGGGGCTGCAAACTATAGTGGCTGACATGAAAACCTGAATGTCCCTATCTAGAGCCGGTGTTTGCTTTGTCCATTCTGGGCTACAGTAGAAACATGGCGGTGCAACATGGCAGACCACATGGATGAGAACCCGCTCCCTATGTAGGCTGAAACAGCTATGGAAACGAAAACACGTTGTTTCTTATTTTCAGGTGATTATACACCTAAGACAACATACTAAATGACTAAATGACCCCTGTTGAAGTGCTATTTATCACAAGTGCATGGAAGTTAAAAAGATTTGTCGGGGTATACCAATATAGATGACACAATACACAATTTTTGTTGATTTTTTGCATTTTTCCTCCGCAATTTGATGTGCTATGGCCATTTCCCTGTAGGCTACTGACGTCTTTTTCACTGTTAAGTATCTTGTTTTAACCTGCATATGAGGAGCCTCGTGGGGGGGATGGCAAATTGTACACATAGGTTTATGCTTTCCCTCACTGGCCTCCCACGAGCAAGCCACAGTGACATTTTATTAGGTGTTTAAAAATGTTATTTGTTTACACGCAGAGCTAATTTGGCCCTAAGGCAAGTGTTAAACACCATGTTAACGTTGTGCTGGTATAGGAGAGTAACTGTAGTGCCAGTAATGGGCTACTTATTATATTACTGATAGCAGGTGTCAGTTTAGGCTGGTCAACATGTCTAAATGTTAGTATTATAGTGTTTTCACTAACAGCTGATAGATTGTTTTTGCCTCCTGCAGTCCTCAGCTCTGCAGCAGCACAGTTTGTGCAAAGACTCCAGACCTCCAGGCCTGACTCAGTCTTTCCTGGCCAAGCAGAGGCAGTCCACCCAGGCCAGGAGGGTGCTCTCCCCCCAGCTGCAGCCCAGGTAGGAGCCTCCATCTGCAGGGACAAATGGAGGAGTACAGCCCACTCACAGGCGTGATGGAAAGCAAGATAGAGGAAGAAGGTGCTTATTTTCTGTCTTTTTTCCCCCCATGAAATCACTGTCTGTGCTCTATTTGGTTTGCTGCTATCGCCCCCTGCTGGTCAATGCTGGAACTGGAGTTATATTTAGGACGATGTAAAAACAAAATAGCTAATGTTATAAATTACTGTCTTTAGCTGTTTTATACCTAAATGTGCTTGTCAATAATCACCAGATTGTCTGCTCCATTCATCATTGTATAATATTTATACATTTATTTTTGTAGATAAGATACAATTTCCTTTAGAAATGATGCAAAACATATTAATTTTGTCATTAATGTAAAACAGTTGTGTATTCTCATTCATTTCATTCAAAGTTTGTTTAAATAAAGTCTGAAAATATGACAGATAATGCATTAGAAATCAATCTATTTACAGGGATATTTTAGTAATCAAAGAAAATAAAGTCAACAAGTAAAACTGTCCCCCACTTTTGTCTGTTCATTTCAGCACCTTTTTTTGTTTTTTCAGTACAAATTAAGGTTAATGATAAAATACATGTACAGTCTTCAGTAGCCTAATAACAGGCAATATGTTGATATTCTAAAATATAATGTGCAGATAACTGAAAAAAACAACAAACAAACACATTTTTAAACACACACTCCTCCTTGACCCCCTGGGGCCTATCTGTATGGAGTTTGCAGCAGTCAGCGTGTGATGTCCCATGTCACCTACATGTCCATTTGTGTCATATTGTATCTTGCTGGTGGTCCAGCAGAGGTGGAGGGATTTTGCCTCTCTAAACAAAATCTGGGAGTTCAACATTGTCTTTTATTTAATATTTTTTCATTTTTCTCTCTGCTCCAAAAGTGCTGCAGATTCAAAGTAATAGTGGAAGCACAGTTTTATATCTATGACTAATTTCACTCTTGAAAATGTGCACTGAATCGATCATTATGGTTTCAAACAGTCAAAAGTTCATGGGAACATCACAATCCATCGTCCACCTAGGACCCAGTGAGCTCTGATCCCATGCTCACACTGCGAAAGCGCTGAGGTTCGTCGTAAGACGGCACAGTGAGTAATGACATTTTGTTTCCACCAAAGGGAGGTTTGGAAATGGCGGGCACAGCTCTGTTCTGGTTGATGGCTGGCTGGGAGCTGCAGTGCTCCAGACTGGAGTGGACAGCTGGGTGAAACAGGAAGGCAGAGGGGTGACGGGAGGTGAAAGGAGTGGCGGAGGCTGACTGAGTGGTCGTCTCTCTTGAGGACTCGGGGGGTGGAGGAAGCAGTGACACAGGAGCTTGGCTCTCCTCCATTGTACTCTCTTCGCTCCTTCTTTCCTCCCACATCTGCCACTCTTCATCACTCTTCCCCTCCACTCCACTCACCTCCCTCTTCTCACCGACGGCAGGATGCCCTCCTCGCCTCTCCTGCTCTGCACCAAACTGAATCTCCAGCAGAGGCGTTCTGGCGCTCACCTCCTCCCTGAAGCTGCACACAGTGCTCTGGGTGTCCTGCCCCAGCCCTGAAGGCAGAGACCCACCTTTACCTATTTTACCGCCTTCATCGTCGTCATCATCGCTGGTGCATTGGTCAATGCTGGGAGAGTGGCGTAGCCTCTGGAGCTGTGCTGAGGTGCGGCGAAGAGCCCCTCCCATGAAGCCAGTTGGGGAGGGGGCTGCATTGAGAAGGCGGTTAAAGAGGGCCATGTTGGCGTGACGACTGCCCGACTCTTCCATGTTTTCGGCAATATTCTCCAGAGGCTGGAAGTGCATCTCCTCTTTAGGGATCCTGTCAAGAGATGTCGAAATAATTTACCTTATTATTTTGTTGAAAATATCATAATGTACAGTTGTTGGTGAAGCTTCTCAGTCATCCAGGTCATGGTAAGCTTAAGTGGTATATCGCAGGCAACTGGACTTGCTTGAGTTTCTCGAAGATGTTTCACCTCTCATCCAAGAGGCTTCTTCAGTTCTAACGGACTGGTGTGGTGTGAACCTTTACAGAATTGTTGGGGTCACATGTGAGCTCTGAGTTTCAGAGTTGTCACCTTTTTTCGTGACCTTAACGACTCTGTAAGGGCACACAAAGCCTGTGACTCCGCACCAGTCTGTTAGAGCTGAAGAAGCCTCTTGGATGAGAGGTGAAACGTCTTCATAAAACTCAAGCAACTCCACTTGTCTATGATACAGCATACTCTACAGCTGTTGTGTTTTATGTTGTGTTTGGACATTTTCACTCTTTCTCAGCCCCAATAACTTCACACTACTACTTTCACTTTCATCACCCAAATTTTCCCACCCAATGGGGGGATTCAAACTTAAAGTGTCACAATCACAAGTCGAGCACATGAAGAACAAGAAGGTAAAACCCAAAGACTCACGCCATGTCGAAAGTGGACCCCTGGAAGGAGGGTTTGCGGAGGACAAAGAGAGTGGCGGCAGTGTAGGGAGGCCTAGGGTTGGAGTCATTCCAGTAACGATCTCTCTCCATCATCGGCAGATCTCCATACATCTCGTCCACCGCCATCATGGACACCTGCGGAACAAAACACAGAAAGACACACAGACACTGATAAAGCACTGGGAGTAAAGAGCACAAGACAGATCACATTATGGATGTATTGTACATAAATAAGGTGATATAGCCTCTGATGTTTCATGTGGGATTAAAAAATGTCAGCTAGACAGATATTGTTGAGGCATTTTTGGCATTCACACAAATATATTGAAAGAGTATATAGTAAGATGTAACAAAGCAAATAAGAAAAAGAAACCTGGAAATTTCTGTCTATCAGCCAGTTGGTCTCAAAGTCGTCATCATCTTCTCCAAAAGGGTTGATCAGCTGCTCTGCAACCTTCAGGACATAACAGACGAAGTGATTAACTCACTACATGAATTATTGATTGATTGATTGATTGATTATGTTCAGGTATCAAAATATATCATATGTGATTCTCTCTCTGACCTTGAGCCACCCGGCATAAAAGAAGAACTGTAGCAAAGTGAAGATGGGCACGTAGAGGTCGAGGTCATGACCTGGATAACCTTGATTGGGGTCCAGGAACTGGCGACCAATCAAACACACCAGGAAAAAACTGTACACTGCCAGAGTCACCACCTGTGGGAAATATGGAGGTTATTAAACAATTTTTCATTCATATTTTTATTTGTTTGTTCCACACGGTAAACAATATGGCACCTCCCACAATTTTTTTATATGACGTAATGCAGGTATCACAGCGCAGAAGGAAGCGTGCATCTAAAGCTAGCCGACCTAGCACCACTGAGCTAGCTAATGTTTACATCTCATGTTGTCACGAGCCTCTCATCCATGAGTAGATGCACGCTTCCTTCTGCGTAGTGATACAGTTGGTGGGCACAGTTCTGCTCTGCAATCTGTGGATTATCATGTGTAACCACTTCATAAATTTTGGCAAGGAAACAACTGATGTGTCAGAGATCCCTTGAACTCTCACCTCAAGATGTCTTAATGAAAATGGGATCCAACAGTCTCCCCTAAACTTGAGAAGGCTTGTTCCCATTAAAGGTTTTGTCCCTTATGATCAACATACTCCATCAAACTAAAGCTGTAAATTTGTCTTTTCAAAGGAAAAAGACAACCAGCCCATCTGAAGAACAATGAATCGAATGAATGAACTTCCATATCTACAGGAAACATAAAAATACTGCTTGTTAAATGCATAGTCTTTTTTTTTAATAAACTTACATTGTAGGTAAAATAGGGGTTTATTTCCTTAGATTTAAGCCCAGTTCCGACCAAAGATTCGTAACGAGATGTGTTGAAACAGGCAACTACTTGCAATACACATTTTGCAGTGTTCTGAAAACCTGCCGGTTCACACCGATGCAATTAGATGAGACAATGTATCATCTCTATGCAACAACTCCCTGTACTTTCATTCTGATTTTCAGCTTTTCAGGCTTATTCTATGGCTGAATATAATTTGTAGCTTCTTAAAATATGAATGAGGATAGTTGATAGTGAGATACTGGCTACAGTTGTATTTGTAGTAGTGATGAAATGGCGAAAAACAGAAACAAAACGAGCATCAGATGGACTGTGTTCATGATAAATACACCACAATAATATAAGTAAGCAGTGCCAATTAGTTAGTCAATGAAAATTTATGAGTATGGGGGAGCATAAGCACATACAGCAAGCAGCAGCAGTGACCCACCGTCCGACATTAGCACACCGTGAGGATGGAAACAGACGGTTTGGACGGAGCACCTGCCGCAGCAAATGAACACACTGTCTGTGGTCATTTTGACTTGACTTGTGGACTTCACTACAAGCTGACTGGCTGTAGAAACACGTGATGAGCTTTATGTTATAAAACCAGCAGAGTTGCAGACACCATCAGCCTGCTTGAGTCAAGGTCAGACAGCCAGTTCACACCACTGCAACTCTTCTCTGCAGCGTTCTACAACAGTTTCAACTTGTCATGAATCTTTGGTCTGAACTGGGCCTAAGGCATCAAGAGCACAAAAGCAGGTTTAGAAAAAAAAGGTGAAGCACCACTGAAGGGTGCTTCGGTTCGTTGGTGTCTGACACCGACAGGCCACTGACTAATCATCGGTATTTGATGAGTTGGGAGTGAGACTTGGCTATAAGTATGTGATTTCATAACTCTCATATTGACACAGTTTTCCATGTAGTGTATATACACTTACCTGAGTGTAGACCAGAGGAACACTGATCATGTCGTAATGAAACAGCATGCTGCACTTCCCTCTGAACGCATTCAGCGCCTGTTCACACACAGATACAGTACAGAGACATGCTGAGGTCACTTCACAGCATTTATCTCTTCTGTCTTAATGTCTGTGTAAATATAAATTGCAAACTGAATCTTAGCTGAAACACAAGAACTTTTGTTCCTCATCATCAGTGGGCCTGTGTAATGGTGTGGGTGTGTGTGTGTGTGTGTGTGTAATGCTGCACCTCCAGCAGTAGTTTGAGTGTGTGATCATCTTTGATCCTGCCCTCACAGCGGGCCACAGCCGCCAGGTTTGTGAACCAAACGCAGGGGATCCAGTATTTGTTATAAGGAGAGTGGAGACCCTCAAACTTCTTTCGTTCCTCTCTTGACATGAATCCTGCACAAACAGCAGAGCAAAATGTCAAACCTCAGATTATTTTATTCCTTATGTAAAATCTGGTTTAGTATGATCTGATTTAACCAGTGTTTGCCTGAACTTTTCTTGTATCGTTTCCAATTAAGTCATATTGTGAGTGAGAATGTGTCAAGAAAAGGACAGTGCAGCTCTATCAGTTAAAACACAGCTTGTTAAAAATATTCTGTTACTGCTGACATCTTGTTAATAACACATAAAGTCAGGGTGTAAATCAAACTTTGATGCCACCAAAAGTTGAAACTGACAGAGTAAATTTAAAATACAGCAGGCGTCTCATGAACTTGTAAGTGACGTGTGAACTTTTCTTTTATCTCCAGTGAATTTCAAGATGTGCCTGTCCTTGTGATTTATCTGCCTACTGCTGTAGAGAACGTACAGGAGAGGAAACAATACACACTGATGACGTGAGCGTGTAACTGATTACATCACTCTATAAACTGCACTTCCTGACGCTCTCTGAGCACAGTGTGAAAAGGTTAATCTGACATATAAAGCTCAGTGTAAATAGTAACTACTGAGATAGAGGTAGTTATTTAGTTTTAATTCTTGTTTGGAAGGTCACATTTTACTGACTGCAAAATCGCAGCGGGTGTTGTTGGCTAAGGTCGGGCCCCACCACCCTCCATCATCACCCCTGTTCTTGTACCTACTCACCAGCCTCCACCACGTGGTCCATGGTGGGGAAACGTTTGAATACCGCCGTGCTGACAGAGCGGAGGATGAGCAGGGCAGACAGACTGGCGTAACGCATCATGGTTCGTCTCAGCAGGCGACCCCTCTCATCGCTCCCCTGGAGGCCCCCAGACAGGACGCACATGAGCCTGTCTGGGAGCGGGATGCTGGTGTACTGGCTCCACCAACGGTTCACCACCAGGGTCACATAGAAACCTGGAAACAGCAGTGGAGGAGAGTTGCAGGGAGATCGGACCTGAGAGGAAGTGCTAAAGGTGTTTTTTGTCAAATTTCCTATCAAATACTGTCCCCTGCTATACATAAAATTGTTTTGGCTTTACTGTTACATCATTTCTGCTATTAAGCCATGCATATGTAAGCTTTAGCAAGTATTTTAGCTGATTTACATGCATGAAGGATATGAAAAACAGATTAACTGAGTAAACTTGCAGTGCATAGTGCAGAAAATGCACTGTGGAGTCTTTAAGAGCAACAGAAATGCAGCAAGAACATAGCCTTTGTGCATGGTGCACCTGCTCTACCAGGTGAGCTAGTGGGCGTCCCATTGTTTTTACATTTTGTAGCCTGGGGCCCTTAAATGATGCCACATAATACTATGGACAAATAAATACACTTCTGAATTGTACTTTTACTTAAGACGTGAATGATTATTAATCATTTCTAATGAAATGTTGACTTAAAAGATTCAGAGTCTTGTATTAAATGCTTAGTGAGAAACATAACGTTACCTTTTCAAAGCTGGAATATTTTTGTGCACATGCAAAAGATTGAGAGACACTGTTTGTGATCTATATTAATGCAGTTTTTTTATTCTTTCCCCAGTAAACTAAACTAAAGTCAACTGAAAAACCAGTAGAGAACCTCTAAAGAATGATACAAAAGCTTAAAATATTTTCTATTGGTTCTTCAGGTTTGTTTAGGTAAGTTTAGTTTACTGGGTAAAGAACCAGTAGAAAACCTCTTAAGAACTTCACAGGGGCTTTAAAAAGTTCTCTGTGTGACCTCAGTACTATATGTAGCACCTCAACCCATGCCAAAGAACCAGGAACCAACATTTTTCCGTGAGAATGGTGATAGAAAATGTTGCCTGGTATATCTAGATTGATTCCCAAATTTCAGTATCGCCATGAACCATATTAACAATCAGTTATGCTAACAAATTGTCAGATAATCAGTATACTAATTATCAAATCAGAATGCGACCATTCCCTCCATCACCTGCAGTGGACGTATTTATATCTCAAGTGCAGCAATGGTCATGCATGTGTGCCCTATGCCTATGAAACAGAGGTCTTAAGATCTAGAGCTGCGGTCCTTAACGTGGACACCTATTACAAGACTTTTGTGTCATTTTCTTTTTGCTCACTCATTTAGCAAATCATTCTCTCATCTAGAAAGTCACACTAAAAGCATGTCTGGGATGAAGCTCAAATCCTGCCCCCTCCTCTATCCTCCCAAAGTTGACAAGAACATGATTAGTGCTTACCCAGTACAAAGGACATAGGGATGAGACTGGCATAGTGGTTGCAATAAATTGCCAGCTTTTCAAAATACCTCTTCTGATCATCATACAGGAAAAATCTAAAAGAGTAACAGTGGCACACAATGACAGTAAATCAAAGCATTTGTGAATATCTCAGGAGCCAGTGTTTCCTAAAACTGTCCTCTCTTTCTTACCTGTAAGTGATGCTGATGGCGGCATACATGGCAAAGAAAGCCAGGAACTCTTTGTACAGCACCTTGTAGATGCTGCCTTTCCAGGCAAGCAGCAGCTTAGAGAAGCCACAGAAACGGGCGTTTGCAACTCTGGCTGTGTAGGTGACAGTCATTGGTGACAGCCAGATTATAGGTCCTCAAAGAAAGAGATGTATGACACAAACAGCCACCTCTGTAATTACACCTGTGGTGAAAACATGCAACAAGTTCAGGAGGGTCAGAGGCCATGAAGAAGCAGCAAGAATCTATAAAACTCTCGGGTCATTCATTTGATTCACAGATAAAGTGTGTTCCCATTAACGTGATGAAATGACACCAAATGAACAGATGATAAAGTTACTAATAATGTATTTTTGTTGAAAGAATATCTGCTTACCGTTTAAAGTGTTGTTACCTTGGATGTACCTCAGCGCATCTCTGTGCGTAATTGGCACCACTGGAGAAGCGACTTCACATTTTCACTTAGCACTATAGTACTCTCTGTGCGCGCCAGTGTTGTGTCTTCAAAGAGCTCATAACTCTGATATCCCCTGGCGTAAGCTCGGTTAACTCGCGGCTCGGTCGGCTGCATGGCAGTAATCCTCGGAGCCTCCTCGGTGCGTCCAGTGGTCAGTGCGCCCCGGGGTAAATCCCCAAAACGAGGAGGAGGAGCTCGTTAGCGCGGCCCCCGACCGGGACAGCGCGGCCCGGTGATGGACCACAAGCGACAGGCCGCAGCGCCGGGGCACAAGGAGCGCACAGGACCGTACAGTAAAGCAGGGAATTATGAAACAGGAGCCAGTGGAGCATGGCAAACTTTCGTGTTAAGTGATATGTAAACAACCAATTTTAACGGCTATAGGTTCATAATTATATCTATTGAAAAACAAAAAGAGGATATAGATATTTCCTGCAAACTACAAGTGTAAAAAAAAACGTTTTCCTGTGTCCATCCTTTCAAACTTTTCCTTTTTTCTCAAGAAAAAAATCCCAGCGGGGTGTAATAATCCCACTTGTTCCAATTGTATTTTCTCACCAGGACATATTTTTCAAAAGGAAATCATTTATTACGACTCAACAACAACCTTTAATGACTTTGGATATTTTGGGCAGACACGTGCTGTGCCTGAAATGCTCTTGAGACCTGCAGGATTTTACGTCGTTCAGTTTTGCTGTGGCACATCTTCCCTTATCTTTCGTTTCATAAAGGTAAGTCACTCCTGAACTGTGGTGTTAAGGGTTAACTGAGGCACTATGCTCTGTCAGAGGCAATCTGCAGTCTTGTTTGTGTCTGTGCGCGCTAAAGAAAATGTGCTTCAGTCTGCTGCAATTAACGGATGTATTAACCCATTCAGATCCCCTGACCAGTCCAATGGACTTAACTTTTTTTGGGATGTCTAGATTTATGGCTACTGTCATCTGACTCCCCCCAAATCAACAAACTTATTTAATTGGATGTCTATAAGCCAATCACGCTGTTCCACCTCATCCAAGGTTGACTGCTGTAGAGCCACAACCCCTTTTTCAACAAGCATGGCCGACCTTTATCTAAGGAGGGAGTGCAAGGCACATTTTGGGCTATTAATCAACATATTGTTTAAGTACAATATTTGTGCTTAACAATTTTTAAGGTAAATATGAAAAATTGTATATATACAATATGAAAGATTTATATCTTTTACTTTTTAATGTTTTTTAATTCAGTGTTTAATACATCTGCAGCCCTGTTGCCAGAAGAATGTTTGCATTGTGCGTTTCTGCAAATCATGGATTTTATTACATTTGTACGTCTGATATGTAATATATCAATGTTTTTTAAAGTGATGTAATATATGAGTTGACTTTGTCATCAAGAGGTCGAGGGCATAGTTGATGACAAGACACCTTTGTGAGATGATTGAGCTTGTTTTTTGGCAACCCTTTGCAGCATTTCCACCATAGACTGTAAAAATGATGGGCTAAGCTTCAATGAAGTCACCCAATGGTTTGTGGACTCCCATTTTGAAGTCCTGAGTTTGGCATTTCGGCTGTCGCCATCTTGTTTTTGTTGGTGCCAGAAGTGACGATATTTGGGTGAGAGGCTACCACTATGGAGGAGTGAGGAGTTGACCTTACTGAGAAGCTGAGGACACTACTGAGGTCACTCAAAGCAATCTGCCCAAAATATTGTGCAACTTTAAGCTTTAAGAAATGTAAACAGGTGAGTTATTTAGAAAATCATCCCCCTACGGTTCTCATAAAGGGGAAATAAGCTGTAGAGACCAAAACCTGTTTTTCTGCCACATTGTTTACATGACTATTTGTGCTGTAAAGTTGGGCATTTTAACAGGGGGGTCTATAGGGATTAACTGGCTTCTGGAGCCAGCCTCAAGTGGCTGTTCAAAGAACTGCAGTTTTTGGCACTTCAATTTTGGCTTCATTTTTCAGCCCTGGATGCTGATGGTTGATTTCCCTCTGGTGTTTGTAGCACCAAACAGTTTTTTTCTGGCAGCAGCATTTTCACAGGTATTTGTTGCACCGAACTTCCAACTATGCATGTCAAACAACCTGTTTTTTTTTTCCCAAGCAACACATCCTGGTGTTTACACCAGTAAATGAGGGTCTTTTAATCAATCAATCAATCAAACTTTATTTATATAGCACCTTTCATACATCAAAAATGCAACCCCAAAGCGCTTTTTAAGCCAAAACATAATCTTTTTCTAACCATTACCAAGTGGTTTTATGCCTAAACCTAACCACACCTTCATCAGTGCTGAGAAACATAAAAGTTCCAATGTATCTGCTACAAAGTAATGTACAGATGTAACAAATCTGTGGTTTGTAGAAATGTACAATGCCAACATTTTTTTCAGGTGATAACATTGAAATAAACAAGTATTTGAGTAAAAAAAATAAAATCTAATGATTTATGAGTGCATTTAGAGTGGAGATCCTCCATTACAATATTTCTTTGTTCGATATATAATTGGGGTGTGGGGTTGGGTTAAAGGAATGACAAAAGGCTCACATCTGAGGCAAGTTTGTTTTAATTAACACTCGCAACATAATTTAAAGAAAATCTATAGAAAACAGATTATTGACTCAAAAGCATTCAGAGACAGAAAAAAAGGGGATGATTATGCTTTTCCTTGATGGTGAATTAACCTGTCATCTGTATTGTTCTGTTGGTAGCATCAGGCGAGCCAATCAGAGTCCAGTATTCAATCACCAGGGCAAAGATGTTGGATTCTGCTTTAACAACTCATCATTCATTTGTTCCACCTTTGATTAGGCAACATTCAATATATTATCAACAATGCACTAAATAAGGCTACTAATGTATTTCAATGGTGTTCCCGTATAGTTCTCAGTAAACAGGGTGGACACAAAGTGTTTGACAGAGTTTGATGAGTTCTATGAGCGCTGCATGGGAACCTGGCGGTGAGACTTCAGCTGTGACTAACTCCTTAAGCTTCCAGACACTCGAACATCAAGAGTGTAATCACATTTTGCCTTTGAATTTCATAAAACTGCTGCCGTTTCCAACCACAAACCACCTGTAGCAAACACAGTGGCCTAAAATATTTACCAGAGGCCATTAAGACTGTCCAGTTCAAAAAATGACATAGCTGTATTTGGATATAAAGCTCCCAACTCGATTCAGAATCTCACTGACATTAGGTTACTGCATTTACACCAGGATTACACAGTAAAGTGAGGTCTAATGATTTGACACATGGTAAAAGACTGACTGCTCTGGTTTGCTTTATTGCAATAACGTGGATGTTCGTGGCCAAGAGCAAATATTACTAAGACCACAGGCTATGTTTGTTTTTGTTTTCTAAGATAATTGTCTTTTTTATTGCCCTGCCACTGCACCCTGCATCTGTAGACATTCTGATGTAAATTCCAGATGTGTGACAGATGAATCTGCATGAAGTTTTAGTCAAAACGTCAAACTGGAGAAGAGACACAGCCACCAAACCACACAGAATAATCAAGGCATAAACATCAACCATCTGAAAGCGGTTTTATCCTGGAATACACAGCACCCTCACTGGGAACACTGTTTTTACAACTGAGGCTGGACACTGCACAGGATGGAGGAGGAAGGAAAGGGTTTTTTTCTCAAAGAAAAAGTTAAATGCTTTGAGTATGAATAGTATAACTGCCACACAGAGGATATGAAGGAACAAGAAGGTGAACTTAGAGTGAGGCAGCACAGATCTGTACTGTCTTACCTCTGTAACAATATAGCAGGTTATGTACGTGTGTGTGTTTGTGATTTCATCAGCTCCCATTCAACAAGGGCGTGTCTTGCTGTAGCAGTGCTCTGCTTTGGATGACGGACTGAGGGCTGAGTGGATTGACTTGAGGCTGTTGCTGCAGGGTTTGAGGCTTTACTGGGGGGAGCTCAGAGGAGGTGAGTTCAGATTGTAAAGGTGGGGTCTGTAGGAGGGAGAAGGGAGGTCCTGCAGGTAGGGAGATCACTTATTTGGGGGTTTGTAGGGTTCCAGAAGTTGCTTAGAGAATGTGTTGACCTTGTCAGCACCTCGAACCTCATGTGGCAGCAGCGGTAGCTTGACTATGTGGAAATCTTCATAAAGGTCCTCCATCTGTAGAGAGAAGACAGACCACTGGTGAGGATGATGACAACTCTGCAGCTGTATTTGTTGACACAACCCCAAAAACAAAATGCTGGCACGTACCTGATCTAAATACTTGGATTGAATTTTGTGGCGGGCTTCACACATTTTGCATGGCCTCTCTGAGTCAGGGAAAACAAGTTGGTTGACGATGATGTTGTGTGTGTCGATGCGGCACTTGGCCAGCTCCTGGATCAGCCGCTCTGTCTCATACAAGGAGAGGAACTCAGCGATACATACACAGATGAAGGTGGTCTGTTCCTGATGGATGTGGGGAAGAAAGAAAGCCTTTTAATATGACTAGTTGTTCTAAATGCTAAACCTATTTTAAATTTCATTACCTACAGAATACTTGTGCTAAATCAACGGTGGAACATGCAGTACAATGAAGCTGCAATCGGAGGACAAGAGGCGATAGAAATAGGATGTCTGCAAAATGCCTAAAGCACTCCGCTGGAGAAACACTGTTTTATATAATTTTTGCAATAAAAATGTTCAGAAGAAGTGTATCAAAAAATTGAAACATTTAACAGCGTTCTGAAATTTCATACTGTGCCGTCATTACTCCTCTCGTCAAAATACCTCACCCACTCTAGAGGAGTGTGAGTGGCTGGGAGGCTGCGTCACCACAGCACACATACGTACACGTGCTGTAGAGTCACGCTGTATGGATGCATACAGTGTAGAGATGTCTGTATGTCCACAGTGATACAGAGCAACAGCCACAGCAAGGAAAACATTTGCAGTGTCTTTGGTCAATCTCAAAATGCTAAATTTAAAGTGTAAAGTGTATCATTTCTTTCACCTAAGGACAAGCAGAGACTTTGCATGCAGATACAGAAAACACTTTGAAAAGCCTGGATTACTCAAAGTAAAAACTCAAACAACATAAAAGCACTACACGGTAAGATTTATTATAATTGTTGTAATAACAGTAATGGATTTGGTTCATATATGTAAATGGAGTCAGAGACAGACACTAATATCTTTAAGCACTGGCCCCGCAGGATACCAAGCCCCTAAATTTGTTAACTAAAGTACATTTTTGATGGCCCAAATGTAAACTTACATAAAAACAAAAGCCTACTGATGGCTTATTTTTGAATGCCTGAAATAAGAGCTGCTGTTAACACAAGCTTGAGAGACTTTCATGTTTTGTTCTATGGTGTAAAATATGTCACTAAATACTCCACTTGTGAATTTTTAAGATTTATGTGTCTTAAAAACAAGTGGCTAAATGAGACTACAGATTGTCATCATGCGCAATGTGGTTTTACAGCCTCATTGTGGTGAAAAAATTAAATCATGGGACCGCAGTCTACTTGGTTTATAGCCTAACATTTTCTTATTACTTCTGGTTGCCCTTAGGCTTCAAAATTTCTAAAAGCGGTGATCATTTGTGAAGATTATCTTGCTGAACAGACTGTTTAAATACCATAATTTTTTGTTTGCCACAGAGCCTATTTCCTGCAGTGAACCAAAATCCAATGGAAAAATCTGTAGGCTTTTTGACGAAGGAGCCAGGGCGATGCTAATTTTACCGTTGGCCTACAGAAAAACGTATCCCTGGTGCACTCTATTAGCTCCGTTAGCTGGTAGCTCTGTAAGCCAAACACACCGCAGAGCTCTGCTGCCCACTGACTACAAACAGTTAACTGGCTCTCCTCCACGTGATTACAGCATAAAGATGTAATACGTCATAGTTGGTAGATGACGTTTTTTTTTATTCATGTTGAACTACAAGGCACAAATGAATGGGGATGTTTGTTTGAACTGTAATGTTGTGTTGGGGAAGGCTTGCAGTATGTTTTTTTATTTTTATTTCTAATCCCTTAACATGCAGTCTAATTCTCAAGAGACCAGATAAAATGTAGTAGCAGAGGCCTGCCTACAAGCAATTGTTTGGGGGCCGCAGAGTTAACTTTTTGTGGCCACAGTCCAAAGGGCCATGTTCAATCTCAAACCCTGGGAGTGACTTACTGGATCTTTGAACTGCTCACTGACTGAGCGGATGACCGGCAGAGTCTCCTCGAGCTTAGACGCCAGCTGGTCTGCATTCATGTCACCCAGACCGAGCATGTTACACATCTACAAACAGTGAGAGAGATAGAGAAGACAAATATGAGGCATTGAATCATAGACAATTTTTAAAGTATAAAATAAACTACAATAAGTGAGTGAAAGTGCTTGTCCCTCCTCACCTGGGAGATGAAAGGGCTGATCTGGTTCTTTATCTGCATGAGGCGGCCCAGACCACGCTCCACAATGGTGGGAAAGTTAAGCAGCCGCAGTGTGTGCCCAGTGGGAGCAGTATCAAAGACCACCACTGAGAAGTTCATTCCTTTAACTAACCTGGAGTACAGGTAAAGAGAAGTGCTGAGTAAGTAAAACACTGGCTACCATTTTTTATTAGCTCAAAATATAAATGCAACTCGGGGTCAGCAAAAATGCTAAAAAGTGCGATCTGGTATTCCAGTGACCGTGCTGTCTTACCTCATGACCTCTGCGTAGCTCATGGCCTCGTCGATGCCAGGGAAGGCGCTCATGGCCTCCTGCATCATCTTCTTACCCATGCTGAGCATGTTGTCCTCCTCGAAGAACTCATCAGGCAGCTCAGCCACACCCAGGCTCGGGTCAATCTCCTGCACTCACACAAACAGCTACTGTCAACTGGCAGGTAATTTGCCAATTTAGCAGAGATCACAAACACTCCATGTCATAAATATTCATGGAAGATACATACGTCTAACAAATGTTGATAATTCAGTCGACCTTTTTATTACATGTAATGGCTCAAACAGTCAGAGAATGTTTAGACGTGAAGAGTATGACAATTTCACTGAGAATCAACTCATCAGTTTTGATCAGCAAACCATGTGCAAATGTTTTTGTGCAAATTGTGGACAGTTGTGCCAAAACACATGAAATTTGCTAGAATGAATTAGAAACTCAAAGAAATTTGAGCTTATTCTTAAATAAAATATATCTCCTTCAAGAATTGCGGCAAAGCAAAACCTGTCAACATCTGACAGGTGAACAGCCGTACATGTGCATGTTGTTTCACCGGCACGACTTACTGAGATAATTAAATAGAACAGAGACACTAATTACTTTTATTTACACCTGTGCTTTTTCTGCCATCACAAATCAAGATGTCTGCTGTGAAAGACACATTTTGAAAGAAGTGAAAACAATCTCAGTTCAACTATTATAAGCAAAAAATGAAAACAGGTCGTGACATTTACTTCTATACTTCAAACTCTGTCTGTAGTGTCTCCCTGTGCACAAGTGCTCACAGTTTTCTTAATGCAGAGCGACTTACCATTGCAAAGAGGTTGTCATAGCCCTTGACCTTAGTAGGCACCTTTGAGAACTTCTGGTCAAAAGCATCAGAGATGTTATGAGCGGGATCAGTGGAGATGATGAGGACACTCTCCCTGACAGCGGCGAGCTGGACAGCCAAGCTGCAGCTAGAGAAAAAACACAGGAGGGGTTTGTGTGTTATCATTTCCTGATCTTACAAGTTGCATTAAGTAAACTGCAGTGAGCAAGATAAATGATGCATTCTCTGGACATCGATGGTTCTGTTGCATGTAATGAATGCAACTAACTGTGGCTATCGGATCCATAAGACTTTGGTTGATTCTTAAACCTTTACGTGTGTAAGTATCCAAAAGCACTAACTTGCTTGTCATAGCCCCAAAGTAACATCATAACATCATATTTTGGGCCTTGGAAGTTGCTTATCCCTGCCTTGGATAACAAATGTTTTTTATACTGTACGCATCACTCATTGGCTTCAATGATAGTTACAGGAGGCATAACTATGTCAGCTATCATGCAGACATCACAGCTAATGCTAGCTAGCTTGTGTATTCATTACCCACGGGTAGTTGTCCATTAGATTAGTTACGGGCTAACGTAACTTAAACACAATCTACTCGTTGAATAGACACAAAGCTGAAGAGAACAATCAGGCTGTCGGTGTTATTCTGCCCCTTGGTTGTCAAACGACTTAAGACAGCCATGAATAACGTTCATGTGTCAGCTGGCTAACGTTAGCTAGTGACAGTGCTTCACAGCATTCAACTACCCGGCGAAGTGACAGCTAGCCTACCGTTAGCCTAACTTAATTTACCAGTGACAGTATTGCTATTTCAATGATAGTGCGTCTTATAATTTTAAACTATCGATCTTTATATTCTTGATGAAGAAAATAACGTTACATCGTTTTGTTCAACTAACACTGATCCACGTCAGGTTATCGTGGTGGCAAATCTAAGCTAACGTTAGCTATGCTAATTTGAGACGTAGCATGAGTCAATACGAGGAAGCTAACGAGCATTTTCTTTCAACTTACCTACACGTCGTTTTACCGACACCACCCTTCCCGCCCACAAATATCCACTTCAAAGATTTCTGCTCGATGATATTCTTCAGTGTCGGTTCTAGCGGCTCCACATCAGGCGCATCTTCAAACTCGTCTTCCAATGAAGCTGCCATCTTGTCTGTGTACACTGTTACAGCTCAGGTGGGATGAACCGACGCTGCTGCCTTCACTGCTCCTCGGAGAAAGTCGAGTTAAATATGTCTGAGGAAATAAATTAAATTAAAACAGTAACAAGAAAGAGAGAAGAAATACTGGGCAAGGGTAAAATGATGGTAGTTGTGGGATGAATATGTTGGGTGTCAAGGCAATTTCAGACCACCCCATACAGATACTCAGATATTATAAGTAGGGGTGGGGCCAGAAAGACAGAATTGGCAGAAAAGTAGAAACTTTAAAAGCCGGATGTCAGTAAATGTCACAAAAATAATACTTTCAGAAGGTAAGACTCATACCATTTTAATAAAATAAAATAAAATAAAATAAGATAAAATAATTGTTTTTGAAACAATTAAGTACACAACACATTCCCAATTCAAAAAGAGTTAATTCTTTAAGTTGTTTCCATTTATTGCAAACACAACTTACACATGAAAAGTAAACACAAGACAATTATTTTAAACTTTTAAAAGGCTATAAATGGTTTAAATGAATATGGATTAAATCAACGTAATCAAAACTTCTACCTGTGAATTCATTTCAAATGAGAAAAACCACAGATACAGGCTTACGACTTGAATATTTGCTTGGCTACTATTTTTTTTTCAACAACCTTTTTATTGGGGTTTTCAACTATAAAAAGATATTACACATACATAAAAAAGTCAGTCTTGGCAGCAAATGTGGTAAACCATCAAATGAAAAGGCAAACAAGAACAAAAAAACCCCATCAAAACAGAGGTGAGTGAACAGATGTTACAATAGTGAACAGTAATCGTAAAGTACATATGGGCTACTTCACTTTATATCTTAATTCAGTTGCCTCGCCCCCACTCCAACCTTTGGTTTTAATAAAAATTAGGAACACTTTGTTTCAAAAATTCCATGAATCTCCCCCAGATACTTCCCCTTAGTAATATGCAACACATGTTGATAAATCTTTTACATATTGATTCATACTTGCTTCGTTCACATCTTTCAGTCTTATTGCTATTTCTCTTTTAGCTTGTAAGAGACACAAATGTCTTACAGCACAGTCACTCTTCTTGGTAATAAAATCTTTTGGATAAATACCTAAGATGCACAGCTTCGGCCAACAGGGGATTTTAAGCTTTAAACCCAGGATCTCCTACCTGTGATCAACACCAGTTTCTTCAGTTAAACATATTTAGCTACTTGTAAGCTGTTATCATAAATACAAATGGAAACTATTCTTCTTGTGAAAATGATTTTATCATCATCAAGATATATGACAAGTGTCTTTGATGTAAAACAATAAAAAAAAAATGTCACGATATATGATATATATATATGTCCACGCCAAATGTGCAGGAGTGAAAAAAGAGAGGTGAAAAGTTTTCAGTGTACTGAAACCACAACTCAAAATAAAAGCTATTACATGATTTTCCTACACGATATGAATGTAGCACAACCCAAAAGAAATACAGGACTATTTAGCTGTGTACCAAATGGCAGGTTAGCATTACTGACACCACACATGTACTTGACTTTTGAAGAGCTTGTGGTCATAAAAATTGACATTTTTTAAACCCCAGGCCCTCACAGGATGGAGAAAGTACACAAGTGGCTTTTACAGTACTTCATCACTGCATAGGCACTTCACTTTGCAGCAGCTTTCATAAAGCAACAATGGACTGTGGTTTGAGTGTCAACGATCTGGTTGTTCTGGGGTGACTGTGCCCCAGAAGGTAGAGCAGGTGTTTTTTTACTAAGATCAAGACTGGCTCCTCCAGTCTGGCATGCTGAAGTATTCTTTGGCAAGATACTGAACCTGCCTACTGCCTACTGCTGCAGGTGTGTGAGGCAGCACCTTGTATGGCAGCCTCAGCCACCAGTGTATGAACGTGAGTGTGAATGGGTGAATGTGGCATGAATGTAGTGTAAAAGCGCCTTGAGTCATTGGAAGTCTAGAAAGACGCCATGCAGATGCAAAAACATTTCCCATTAAACTGACGGATAAATAATTCACCAGGAGAATTTATCAATAGAAAATATTTTGATTTAATTCTGCTTTAAGCCTATAAAGTACATGCAGTGTTTTACTGAGAGATTAAAAGCAGCTGTGATTAGGAAAATCAGTCAGTTGATTTTATCAATAACAACTCAGTGACAGAAATACATATGCATATTAAAGAAAACCCTCTGAAGATTAGGATTGACAATCTTTGGCTCTAGTGAGAAAAACATTCATTGACATGAACATGTACATGCTGTGACCACAGGATAAGGCACTTGCCTCCATAAACATCTTTTCATGGCGTCACCTGTCCCCATCTCAGTGCTGCCATCAAACCTGTCAGCTTTAATCCTTCTAGACCCATCGCTTCCCTCTCCGATTCCCAAGCAGTGCCAAGCCAGAATCCTTATGTGACTTGTCTGAGCTCGCACACACTCCATCCCAACAGGAAAGGAGCAACTTCCCACTCCACCCGATCTTTCACAGTCTGTCTGCCGGAGCCAACGTGGCCAGAAAGCAGGACCCTGATCCACCCATTGGTAGCTTAAGCCGCAAGTGGCAGAGCGCACTAACCAGTCTCTGACTGAACTTGCAGCATGTGAGGGCAGAGGACTGAGGTCCAGATCTGCCACTTCCTTTACCAGCTTCTGGTGATGGGTCTCTGCAGCCTCTCTCAGATCTGGAGAGGCGCTCAGGTTGAACTTCTTCCTGGCAGTGGTGTAGTTGGGTAATTTTGCAGGCAAAGGTTGACCATCACCATGAACCCCAGTGGCTTCAGCCGGCTGCTCTATGGACATCCAAAACGGGTCAAAAGAGGACCCCAGAAGACGCAGGAGGCGAGAAGGTCGGCGATGTCTGGGTTTGGGCATGTAGTGGTAGTCTTCGGTGTTTGTCAGCAGGGTGTATGGGCGGACTGGCTGCGAGTAAGATGGTAGACTGGCTCTCAGCTGAAGAAATGGTGAATCCCAGCCTTTGTCCTCCTCATCTTGAGTCACATTTGGAAGCTGGATCTGGGTTGAAATGTTAAAAGTAGACAATGTAGATCCATGCAGATGGACAAAGAGAGAAATCCAGCAGAGACAGCTGAGCAGTCTTGGCATGGTTTAAGGTGTGGATGACACAACAGAAAGATGAGAAAATGCTCCTCGTTCTCCTTCTCATCCGTTAAGTTATGGGTTCTCCTCTGGGTGCTTCAGGGACTCTGTGTACCCTACACCAGACATCCTTGAGCTCATGAACAATAACATACTGGAATCAGTGCCTTACACACAAACAGCTTATTATTGAGTATGGCCAGAGCACACCTAAGCTCCCACTTCTTCTTCAAGGCTCTGATGTTTTGGCTAACTTCAAAGCAAACATACAAGACAGTTCTGAGAAGTTTGGTGTCATACGTTGATTACCAGAATTGCGATATGTTTAAAAGATCCTTAGGTGTGATAAATTCAAGTGAAAACAGTAACTGATGTGTCATCATGCAGACATGTATGAGATCAAACAGAAGTTCCACATCACAAATTTCACAGCAAGCGTGATTCAAGAAAAAGAAGAATCATTTGACCTCAATTTGGTGGAGCTGTGTCAGCAACCTCAGACACAAGATCTTGAAAAATAACAGCTCTCTCACACAAAGACTGCACTTAGATCAGTTCTAAAAACAAGCTCCAGGGTAAAATCCCTTCATGGCAGCTTAGATAATAACATAGCAGAGATGATTTTAAAAGAGGAGGGATGCAACATATTTGCAGGACAATAACCCCATTTTATTCTCATCTACACAAAATCAGCTGTCTGGGTCAAAGGCACATGATGGCGTAATATCAAATATATTTTTAACTTCATACTTAACTGTAAACACTTGTTCTAATATCATTTTTGTTTACATCACCATTATAATAATACATTTCATAAATACAGTCACAAAGGTATTTATACTTACATAAAGATTACAAACAGCAGGAATTATTGGAGAAATATTGCATTTATACAGTGAGTTGATTAGGCAGCAGGTCTGTAGTGTCAGGTTGTATTGTGTGTGTGCTTTCAGAGAAAACCTGACTTCAAGGGAAATTCTGGTATGTTTTCAAAATGGTCCCTATTTTCCCATGTTTTTCTGTCTAAGTGACTAAAGGAGACAACAATTTTTGAAACTGGTCCAGTATTGAGAGACCGCTGCAGCCGTAACATCAAAAAAGGCTGCAATTCAATCCCTACAGGTAATTGTGCATTAATTAAAAGTTCTTATTTTTTAGCCACTGACATTCCAGATTGTGATTAAAAGTAGCAATGGGCATTTTAAGCAATTTCCATATTCAAGTACTTGTATTAAATTATTACAAAGTAATTACAAACAAACAACACAAAAAATCTAATGTAATAATAGGAATGTAAATTGGCTAATAATGGAAAATTTCAATAGTCAGGCTTCAGTTAACCTACTAAACCATATATTCAAAATCATATAAGATAAGGAAAAGTCAGCAAACTTTCCGTCTCTGCTATTACACAGTTTAGACGCAGCACTTAAGGACTGTCTCTGGAGTTCAGAGCCCCTCTCCTCCCAGTCAGTTTTCTATCTGCCTGGTTAGCATGAGCTAACACAGCAGGAGCTGCTAATAGCCGACATCAAGCTGTTCAACAGTCCCAATAAACTCACACCGACACTGAAACAACTCAACTCTAAAATTTAACCCACTAAGAACCAGTAATGTTAGCCGTGTGATCCTAACAGTAAGCCCTGTCACTGTGTGTAGACTCATCAACTGTTCCCTGGTGCGGAGCTCACACTCCTGCAGCAGTAGTCTCATGATAAACAGGGAGAGCAACAGTCAGGCAAGGAGGTGCCAAGCAAGGCAAAACACTGCATGCAGCTATACAATGAAATAAATTAAAGAAGACTTTATCCATTTTAAATAGCCCAAAAATACATATTAAAGTCATGTTTACATGAGGGAGGTTGGGTGGTGATTACACATTTAACGGACGTCCAAATGGAGTTCTCAAGTACTCATGCCCATCCCTGTTTAGAAGTGTCTCACAACTTTAGGGAAAGGACCCTACAGAGAAATTAAATGTTTCTCCATACCTTTCGCTGAATCAGTCTGTTTGTTAGTTTGTGTAACCAAGTCTTGCTAAAAATCTGAAATCCCGAGGGGCTTTTTAACATAGTTGAAATCAGCTAAATAATTAGCCATGACATTGAAAATCTCTCACTAACCTACACTTTTTGTACTCCAATACAACAAACTCTTCCCAGCACTCCTTTCTCCAACTTTCACAAATGTTTTCACCACTTCTTTTTGCAACATTGCGACATTTCAGAATGAAACTAATAAACAAATAATAAACAGACCAGCAAAAAGGTGCTTAGAAACAATAAATTTCTCTGTAGGATCCTTTCCGTAATGCTTCCAGACACTTAAAATAACAATCGGAGCCTGTCAGTGGCAAAAACAATTTTAATGGACATACAATGAAAATAGGGTCCATGGTAGCATGTGTGTGATCCTGGTAGCATGTGTGTGATTGTAGGTATTTTAATATGATTGCGCGTGTGTGTTGACCTCTACATCCACCCACTTCTCTTGTTTCTCCTCAAACTCAAAGTGAAAAAAGCTGGTCATGTGATCGGTCCTGTTGCCGGGTAGACTGTGGCGGTGGTCTGGATGTAGAGGGTGGCCCGCTGCGAACTGCCTGCCCACCTTGGTCTGCCGCCTTCGCCCGATCTTCCAGAAACTTATCAAAATCTGAAAAGGACAGTTACAGTTAGAGATGTGTGTGCACATCATCAACACATGAACATACAGAAGAAGAAGCAAGAAATCTAAAATGTCTTTTACATTAAAATGGCAGCAGTGTATCAGAGAGAAACACATACCTTCACTGGACACTCCTTCACTAACTGAAGAATGGTCTTCCTGCATTTCCAAACACAATAAAACACAAAGAGTAAAGATCATATCATCCTATATCACACAAACACTCCTTATAGAGAGACACGCTTTCTCTTACCATATCACAAGTTAACCATTTGTCAACATCATTCTGCAGAGAGTTTTTCGCTGGTGGCATCTGAGAGGAAAAGTGATGAAGAGAGGGATAAGGTGATACTTCGTTTTAGCTATATCCACACATTTAACACTTGGTACAGTTCTTTAATTGTACATGAAATATTTTGCTCAAATCCATTTCTGTGTTACATCAATATACACACCCCTCCTGTGACCTGCAACCTTGTATCCAGAGCTCCAGCAAGGCCCTCCACAGCTCCCGGGTCCTCATACCTAACACTGGAGACAGGATGTACAGTCATGCTGTGAAGCAGTGTAGGCTACGTGACAGTTTTTCTTAGATAACAATGGAAATTCTCCAAACTACTTGTTCATCCAAACATCAACAGCTAAGGCTACCACAAGTGATGAGACATTTTCATCACTCATAGTCACTGCTGCACACAAATAAAAACACGACACATGTCGTGAGAGCATGTGTCAGGATATGATGTGTCTCTCTCTTAGCACTGCTCACCTTTTCCTCTGCTCAGCCAGGGAGCTGCCTCTCGTCTGGGCAAACATGTCAAACTCCTCCTCCTCTTCTGCAAGACGGAAGATTAACTCAATAAGTCATAACTGAATCAAAAACACAATGTCAGTGTCCTCCATCTTGCTATTTTAATTCCTGTAGCAACACAGTTTTAATAATAAAACCTCAAACTATTTCTATACCAAAATGTCATCATTTGTCATTTATAGAAAACGGCATATTTTTTGTAACTGTGAATATGTAGCCATAGGCTTAGTGATGCCCAACTTTCAAACACATTATATGCTTCAACAGAGCATTTTTTCGGGATGTCATCCTTTTTCCTACATTGTCATGTGATGTCAAGTCATGGTGATTGTAGCGACTGCTATCAATAAAAAGGCCGCTGAGAGGCTTAAGTGGGCTCGCATCTGTGACTTGTTCCTTCATTGAATCAGTCCACTTGACAGTTGTATAAGTTTTATTTTGCAAACGAAAGAAGACTTACAATACAGTGATCCGACGTGACGGTCAACAGAAAATATCAGAGCTCACTCAACCCCATTGTCTCCATTCCCGCCAGGGATTTAAATGCCCAGTTAAATAACTTAAACCACACCCATGTGTCAACCACCGGATGTGACATACCTGTGCATACATACAAATAAACAATAAACATAAGCAAAATATATATTTTGGCTCTTACAGTGATGTTTGTTATTGTAAACACTCCCTCCCCATGTGATGCCCAGCCACAATATCCTGTTTTCTACCACAAATACAGCTTACAAAAGCATGACTTCAGTTTCAAGTCACATGTACAGATTTGGTGTTACAAAAGAGCACACATGAAGCAGAATTTATACAAAGTTTACTCACTGTGGTTGGCTGATTGCTGTTGATTGGCCCCGGTACTGACTGCTGGTTGGCTGGTTGTTGCGATGACAGCAGGTTGGCTGAGAGTTGATGGCTCAGGGCTGAGGTCGATGAGGCTCGGGCTTGTGGTAGAGCTCTAAGGACACAACACAGTAGGTTAGGGTTGTATCGAACAGTTTGAAGCTTCAAAAATTAATTTGTTATATTGCCATTTGAATTCTACATCAACATTCAAATGCTCAGTGGTGGCTCCTTAGGATTGGTTCTGACTCGTGCAATCTGGAAATCCATCAATAAAAAAAAAAAAAAAAAATTCTTCCTTTAGTAATGTAATGCAATGTAAATTGCAGAATCTGTCTTGAGAGATTAGGACTCGTGTGATCAAAACATTCCCAATAACTCCAGCAGAAATGATGAGGAGAATCTTCTTACCTGTTGAGTATTTGGAATTTGTGCCTTGTTCAGTCTGTCAAACCTAAAACAGAGTAACAATACAGTGATCATGAAATAAGCCACGAGAAAGCTACATACAGCACCCTTAAAACTAACATTTTCTTAAAGACATAATCCAGCAGCACACCTCTCATAGCGGATGAAGGCGTTGTTGAGGTCATCGTTGACCACGAGCAGCTCTTCAATAAACCCTTCATCCAGCAGCTGGGGGATGAGCTCCACCACTCGAGTCTGCATACTCTTACACATCGAGTACAGTTGCTTCTCGGACAGAGGGCGAGAGAGACATTAATTCATTCTCATCACTAATGACATGGAGTAAAAGAAATGCCATACAGTGCGGTTATACAGACAACTTGAGCAAAAGAGAGAGACCAAAGAGAGAAAATGTAATTAAGTGAAGTAAAACAAATCAGAAATTAGCATCTCTGCCTGTTATGTAACTTATTTTTTCCATGTAATATCGATAAACATAGACACACATGGCGTGCTTTTAAAACTAATTAACAAATTACAGAAATGTTTGCTTTTTAGCACCTTAAACTGCACAAAGGTCAAAGATGATACATTTCTTACTGTTGACTTACCAAGTGTGGTCATACAAGAATGAAGCATCACAATAATACACTCAATATACAGTATATCTTCCCACAAGTAATTGTTTTAAACAGTGTTGAAATGATGAAATGAATAGAGCAAAGACTTGAATATAGGAAATGCTGTAGACAAATCACACACACACACACACACACACCTGTAGCAGCTCTGTATCATCTTGCTTGCTCTGTCCAGGTATTAACTCATTCAGCATTTCTGACATCACAGTGAGATTTCCCTTCACCAGCGCCAGCTCACTTCGCAGCTTCTGTTCCTGGATAAGGAAATGTACACATGTATATGTAAAGAAAAAAAAACAGCAGTCAAAAGACACAACACAATAGTGTTCATTCTATTGTAGTTTTTTTTTTGCTAACTGCTAAGATTAGATTGCTGTTATACCGTATGGGGGCAACACTGGCTGGAGAAACAGCCTATAACTCCTCTAATACAGTTATATTTTAGTTAAATTTTAACATGTCATAGCGGGAAAAGCACATGTGAAACTATTAGTATTAAAACTAGGGTAGGAGGAAACCTGGAAAAAGCCCAAAGAAGCAGAATTTTAAAATACACCCTCCTCCTGCAGCTCTTCCCTCTCTGTCCTAAGCCCCTCCCACCAGAGAACCACAGCCATGTGCAAACACTCATACAATAACCCTTTGTTTCCCATCCATTGATTTATTTAATTCTATTTCATTGTAGAGTTGCACACAGTGCATCTGCACAGCCCCTCCTCTTTTCATCCGATCACAAATGAGACAAAAATCAGCTACTAGCCACCCCACAGTCCCTCCGCCTTGCTCCTCGCCACTGTGGACTGCTTCGCCAAGAGGAGAGCAGGCAGCAGCTCTCTAGACGGACCTTCGGTCGACAGCTGTAGTTGCTCGAAATCGGCCGGCACAAACCCCCCAGTGCTGGATGTTATGAGTTGGTTGTTGGCCAGTGGCAGTACCTGGTGTAACCTGTGTAACAGCAGCAACAGAAAGTTTACTGATCCGTCAGGGAGTCGGGGCTGTCCGGTCCCCTGGAGCTGGGGTTTATGCTGGCTGGATTTGGGTTGCTACAGCCACTGACTGATGGTCTGTCTCCGAAGCTGCTGCCCGCTCTCCACCCTGCGAGGCAGTCTGTAGCGGTGGGTAATGAGGCTGAGGACACACTTTGATTTGAGGCTCGAGCTAATGTTAGCTACATAAACGTGAACTTGAAGCTGCAGATATGAGCCTTTGGTTTCAGTTAGCAGATGGCTAAACTATTAGCAACATTTGCTGTACATCTCTGAAACACAATGCCGAAATTGACACGTGTTTTGTCTCATTTAATGTCAGACTCTCTTTTAGACTCTCTTTTTGATAAGTCTGTCTTCCTTTGTTTGGGATGCTTTGCAGTGTAGGCAGTTGTTGCCAATGCTGGAATAGCAACTTTCTCTGCAGGATTATTCGTCATGAATCAGGGTTTCACCGAAGGTACATGCCAGCGCATCTGCATTTGTAGAACAGCCAACAGGAATGGCTTTTCCTTGAAACAACCTGTGATTTGCTGAAGTCTCCCGTTACAGCCTAGATTTCCTAAAACCTGAAAACAGAGCCAAGAAGAGGTGCAGAAGTCTAGTCTTCTCTCAGTCCACTTGCATTACAATATGTTCAAAGTTTATTTTGGAATATTGGCCTGATGAGGCCAAGATAAAACTGCCTAGCCCAGCTTTAACAATGCCTCTGCTCCAGCAGTTATTGCAATGCACTGAAGCTATTGACAGTGTTATTCATTGCACCTGTTCTTTGCCAGTCACATTGTTAGCTCTGACAAGGGCTTGTTTAACTTCAGTTTCACTTCACATTCTTCCCCAGGTCACGTGTGCCAGGCAAGGCTCAGTGACCAGTTTGGAAACCTCAGACGTGATTTAAGACGCAGGTAAACTCAAGTTCCCCGCGACCCAGATCCGGATAAGCGGAGGACGACGAGTACGAGTACGAGTACGAGTACGAGTACGAGTAAACTCATGTTTACGTTTGTGGATTAAATGCTGTTCCAGGGAAGTTTAGGTGGGGAAGATTTCTTACCACTGCTGTATGTAGTCATCGACTTACAGGTGTTTTTTGACAGTGGTACCTGTTCTGCAGAGAGGGAGGCTGGCTCCTCACTGGACTCGACTGGGGGTAAAGTATTCTGAGTGGGAACACTGGAAGGTGCTTGTGGTTGTGACTGCTGTGTGGGAGCAGCAGCAGGGGTCGTCTCAGCAGTCCCATTTTCTGGGATACTCTGCAAGATGAAGAGAGGTACAGGGTAGAGACAGATATCTGTACATAAATTTGATTCTGTGTGTTATTTTTACTTTGTAGACAGTCTCACCCTATTTGGAGTGTGGATGGGGGACAGAGCATCCAGATCTGTCATGGGGAACTCCAGACCACGTCTCCTCAGGTCATCATATACGTACACCACCCCTGCTAGGGAGGGAGTGCTACGAAATGCATCAGCCCATGACTGTGGATGAGAGGGAGATCATATAACAAAATATAACGACAATGACAGAATACTAAATCAGTGTTTAATGCCACAATATACAGGCCAAATGTGAAGAAAACAAGAAGACAAGAAAAAAGCAGCAGAAAAGGAATGGTCCTTCAGTATTTACAAGCCAGACTATATCTAATGTTATCATTCCAGCTGCTCTCTATTTCACACAACTGACTTTCACCACGTAGCAGAGGAATGTGTGGAGATATTTAAATCACAAAGAACACTGAACACAGATATTGCTATTCAACATATCTGCAGCCATAATAGAGTCCAACTTAGGTAAACTTGGAAAGCTATCGGATGTCAACACACCACTGAAATATCTCTCAATGTAAGGGAAGTGAAGAATAAGAATTCCAATTAAATAACAGGCTTTAATAGTCTTCAAAAACAGCTGTGCCGTTTTTTGAATTTGCATCAGGAGTAATATAAATGCCCTCTGTGGGAGCATACAGTTACCTGTATGAGGCTGAGCACCCTGTCATGGAGGGCAGTGGGAGGGTTGTATTTGGGCAGAATGGAGCGGACCAAAACTCCTTCAACAAACTCCTGCGATGCCACAAGAATGTGGAAGCGTTGGCCACAGTTCTTCACACAGGTCTCAAGAACCTGTGTGACATTGAGACAGTCCACAAAACAAAAAAGGTGCAAATGTAGTTAGATTTATGCAAGTCAAGTTGCTCCAAAACACCATCACATCTAGGCTGCCAGCCAATCAGGATGAGGATCAGCCTGGCCTTAAAATGACTCTCTCACACCCTTCAATCCTAAACTCATAAAATAATGAATAAAACTCTTACATGCAATCACCTAAAGACAAATACTCACAGTAAGGGCCAACATGATCTCTCTGAAGTTCTTGTTTCCAACAATTCTCTTCTTAATAGCCTTGACAGCGTCTCTTGGCCTGAGAAAATATATGAAAATAAGCAAATATATGAAAATTAGCTAAATTCATTCACAAACAATATAAAGCTCTGATGTGTTGGAAACATACAGTGTGTGAAGGTAGTTTTGTTTGTGGCTTATCTGTATAATGAGAGCACGCTAAAATTAAGGGGGTCATTCCAAAGTTCCCAGTTCCTATGTTTCCCAGATTTATATGGCACACAGTGGGAACATGATGAAGGGTCCTATGTTCCCCACTTCTACTTAAATGCTCTCCCAGGGTCCTATGCTCCCCAGGTCTTAGGACCTAAGACCCTGGGAACATAGGACCCTGGGAACAAATGACCTGGGGAACATATGGCCGTGGGAACATAAAACCCTGGAAACTTAGGACCCTAGGAACATAGGACCCTGAAAACATAGGACCCTAGTAACATATGACCATGGAAACATAGGACCCTAGTAACATATGACCATGGAAACATAGGACCCTAGTAACATAGGACCCTGGAAATATAAGACCCTGTGAATATAGGGCCCTAGGAACATGGGATCCTAGCAACATAGGACCTTGGGAACATATGGCCCTGGGAACATAGGACCCTGGGAACATAAGACCCTAGGAACATAGGGCCCTGGGAACATAAGACCCTAGGAGCATAGGGCCCTGGGAATATAGAGCCCTGGGAACATAGTGCCCTGGGGACTTAGGACCCTGGAAACATAGGACCTGGGAAACTAAGGACCCTAAGAAACTGAGGACCCTGGGAACATATACGATCCCAAAATTAAGTCACTTTCATGGCACGAAATCTAAAGACTTTTTACTGTACACATCCAACTACTACAAACACATTGCACTTCAGGCTTAGTGACATTCTTCTTGAGCATTACAAACCGTAATGCCTAACAAACTATGAGATTGGCCTTAAACATAAGTAGGTCATTCAGTCACAAGCAGTTACACTGAAATAAACAACAAACCCATAAAGGAAGTGGTACGGTAAAAAGCTGTGCAAAAATAAAACATGGAGTTCTACATACAGCAGTTTACTAATTAGTCAGACAGGTTAGGCAAAGTGCACCAGATGGGGACAGTTTGTGGCTTCTTTGTGAAACTGTTACTTATGTGACCACCTTACCCCTCATCTGTCTCGTTGATGATGTCACATATCTCCATGTTGAGCCCCCAGTCCTCTGACTGTAGAGAGCCGCTGGTCGCTCGCTCTATAAACAGAGAGGGAATCAGGTGAAGGTGCAGACATACAGTAATACTGAGACTATATCATGATATCGGCAAGACTATGGGAAGTCATACAAGTCATTTTTAGCTGGTCTTCCGAGTTGTATTTCAGAAATCATTCTGGGATAAATGTGTCACTTGGAATTAAAATGTGTGGCATGGTTCACATTAATGGAACAACACATAAAATTATGAAAATGTCATACAGTAAATACAATATGTTGCCCACACTTGGACACTTTCATATAGGAAAGAACATCGCCACGTGATCATTTCTGGGTCTGACTTTCAGAGTTCGGGTGTTTTCTTTGTATCTGTCGATCTAAAGAGTGAAATGTGCACTGCATTTACAGTACTGGTACTTGAGATTACACACCTGAAAATTTGATTTGAAATTAGAATTAACATTTGGGATTTTTTTTTTTAAAAATCCATAGTCAATTCAACTGGATATTTTTGGCTAGTTGCAGGCAGAGACAACAAGCTATAAACACAATATTAACATATGCCTTATAAAGTTGCTGTGGTGAACGTGTAACAGCAGTTGCCAGCAGACATAGAGCCATATTGTTATTCATTTAGAGTTGTGTTTCTGGCCATCTGACAAATGTAAATCCAATATTCACACTCCATTACAGCTCAGTTTTGGTCTCCACAAACTCCTCAGAGAAATAACTTTCTGTTCAGCTGCTAAATGCTCCACTATGTTCGTGTGTGTGTGTGTGTGTGTGTGTGTGTGTGTGTGTGTCTGTTGTTTAGTGGTGAGCATTTGTGTACAGTCAATTTTAGAGCTTTTTTTTCTGAAAACAGCTGCCTGCTACAGCTGAAAATGAAGCTATGAAAGCAGGAGCTACGAAGGCAGTGCAAGTGAACCAAAATGGTAAAGTTGTTGGCCAGAAAACCAAAACAATGAGCTGAAAGACGCTAAAATGCAGCACAGAACTGAGGTAAGCTTCAGAATCTGGTGTTAATTCTCAGTGGGTTCATCACTGCAAGAGACACAGTCATTTGATCCATTATTCATAGGCTTAAAGCAGGCTGTGTGCACAGCCAAGTCGATGAAATCATCACAGTTGTTTTTCAGACTCCCTCCAGAGCCACATAAGACATTATACAACAGTGTTTACAGGCTGAGTAACACTTGCGAATTGTAAATCATAATTTGCATGTGTAAAATTGGGTTGAGAGCACATTTGCTGTAGTTGGTAACTTTCTGTCTCTACAACTGCCTCTATATTCACACAGCACTGAATGAGGCAGATAATCTTTGAGAAAAATCACATTTCTCTGCCTACTCTATTGCCTTGTAGCACTTCTAATGGCCTGTGATCAGCAGCAGTCAGTCGTGCCAATCACTGCTCCTGAACTATGGTCAAACTCAAACAAGGCAGTGCTGATCAAATATGTATCAGGATTGTGACTGTATTGGCTATTCGTTGCCTCAAATATTTTCAGAGACATATTTAGTGTACTGTTTAGCTGTAAAATAAGATTACAAGCTTTCTCATTTTACAGCTAAACAGCACAATAAAATGCAGTACTAGAATCTTGGTTCATATCTGATCAGCACTGGCTAGTTTCCCAAGTTGACCACAGTCTAACAGCAGTGATTGCCATGATCGACAGCTCCATTAGAGACTCCTCGGCTCCGATTCAGGGTTTCACACACGTTTATTTATTTGTGGCAGCCTGCCACGATTAAAACTTCTGCCGCCATGTATTGATTTTCTATTTTCAGGGCTGGATAGTGGAGCAGAGCTGTAATATATATCCATCCTTTTCATCTACTTATCCAGGGCCAGGTCGCGGGGGCAGCAGGCCAAGCAAAGCACCTCCGACGTCCCTTTCCCCAGCAACGCTTTCCAGCTCCTCCTAAGGGACCCCAAGGTGTTCCCAGGCCAGATGAGATATGTAATTTCTCCAGCGTGTCCTGGGTCTACCCCGTGGCCTCCTAACAATGGGACATACCCAAGTAATATACCATTTGATTATTAATTGCTCCATACTCTTGCAGAGCAGAGCATTCTCTGGGCACGGATGGAGCAGCAGAACATCAGGCACAGTGAAAGTGAAACTTAAAAACTGGCTCTCATCCATTGATCTGATCAGCTTTAAACAATCCAATCTGCTCCTTGAGGACTGTGTGGAGGCGGTTGAATAAGATTTCACTGAAAATGGCGGAGCACAGACAAAGAGGAGCACAGATTTAAAAAAAAAAATCAAATAGGCCTACTGAAATCTCTCATATGAACTAAGTGGTTTCCTCCAGATAATGATGTTTTTATGGGAACTCATTGTTTGTTTTAATAAACTGATGGAGAAAATTAGTTTTCATCTCCACCATGTATTCCCGTCCAAACTATTTAGCAATCAAAGCCAGCTTTCTTTGCACTCCACCCCTCATAGGCTCCTTATAAGACTCTAAATCTCCTTCATTCCTTTCCACCAACACCCCCACACTTCTCCAAACCTTTCTCAATCCCATTTTACTCCCTTTCCCCCCCTTTGCATCCACTCCCTCCCTCCCTCCTTCCTCTCTCCTTCCCCAGCTCCCTCCACTTCATGTGACTGTCAGCTGCTTCTGTTCTCATTGGCCTCAGAAGGAGCTGAAGCCGTCTCTGACATTTATGTGTGAGAAAGTGAGTGGATGAGATAAGAGGAAGGAAGGCTGGAGAAGGGGTGTGCAACAGTTTCTCACTAACGTCATGACTGTCCTGATTACACATCTTTCCAGGCATCTTCAGCTCTGTGGAGAATGTGTTGACTGCACAGTTTTGCAGTGCTCTGACAACCTGTTGCCATTATGAGAAAATACTGCTGTTTTAAAAGTTGTGTGACGCGACATATGCTCGTTGGAGAGCATCAGCAACACTTGTGCGTAAGGTGTGAAATTGTGTCTGGGACAAAAACACATCAGTCATAGAGGAAGTGAGAGGAAACACACAGCGCCTTTTTAATTCGCCACATTAGGTGTTACTTAACTTGAAGCAACCAATCACATGGAAGATTGAGGGAGTTTAGCCCCGCCTCTGTCGCGTCATTGGCTCAACTGACTTCTTTTTATGTTTCTGTCAAATTTGGAGTTCATTATTAAACATTACCGAGTAGGAACAAGAATTTAAAGTGGTGTTAGGCTGTTTTAAAAACCCTGTGAGTGTGCTTATAGAATCCCTAAACATGTTATTGATTATGGAAATTAAATTAAGTCAAATTGGATCAAACGGTGAACAACTCCTGACATATCCTACTAACGTTAGTTTCAAAAGCAGCTGCGACTTACCGATTCTCTGACCGACGGGCGTTGAAAAGGGGTTTCCCATTAGAAACTCTATCGTCTCCCCGATTGAAAACATCCTCGAAAATTGCAAGTGTCCACTCCAACTGTATTAAAAGTAGTCTGACAACTCCTGAGCTCAAAACTGCGGTGTTTCCTTTTGCTTTCAGCCGCTGCTTCAGAGAGCACGGACTCTGTGAGAGGTCACGTGAAAGCACACAGAGCCAGGAAACGGCAGCAGACATCAACACAGGGCCGTGTGTTTCATCACATCTGCAACAATGCTGTAAAAACTCGACTGTACTCAGACAAAGACACTTTATTTCCAGTTGCTGGTCCCAGTATATTGCACATTAAACTCTGAGGTCTACAGAAATAAAATTATTAAGTATGAGAAGAGTAGTTTTTCAGGTAGGCCACAAAAAATAGGTCAGTGCAGGTCATGGACCTCAACCATTTGGTGCTGGATGAAGAATTGAGATCTGTGAACCGTGCTTTATTGAAGTTAAAGTCCAGCATCACACATCAGTTCTGCAACTTATGGAAACTCTAAATTATAATAATAATTGTAAACTTCATTCAAATAGCATCTTTCAAACAACAACTGCAGCACAAAGGGCACATTTAGCATTCAGTGCCTCACATGCAAATAGACATAATGGACCTAAAAAAGTCAAGGCAATTCAATATAAAAGGACAATTAAAATAGTTTAAAACATGGATTAAGTGATTCTACAATCTTCATTTAGAGTGGCGGTGATTTGAGAGCCTGTTATAATTAAAATCTCATACAGAATTTCTTAAATAAATTACTTGTATATTAGTACTGGGTAGTTTAATCTAAAATAGTGCAGAGGCTATTTTATGAACTGAGTTTCCAACATAAAGTCTTGACCTGAAAAATAACTATAACACCAGAAAAATGTAGTAGATATTTCTGCAAACCGCTGATATGAAACATTCAATCAGTCAATCAATTTTATTTATAAAGCCCAATATCACAAATCACAATTTGCCTCACAGGGCTTTACAGCGTACAACATCCCTCTGTCCTTAGGACCATCACAGCGGATAAGGAAAAACTCCCCCCAAAAAAAAACTTTAACGGGGAAAAAAACGGTAGAAACCTAAGGAAGAGCAACTGAGGAGGGATCCCTCTTCCAGGACGGGCAGACGTGCAATAGATGTCGTACAGAACAGATCAACATAATAAATTAACAGTAATCCGTATGACACAATCAAATTCATATGTTATTATGTAGCAGATCTGTTGAAACACTGTGGTTAAGGTGTGGTTAAGTTTAGGCACAAAAACCATTTGGTTATGATTAGGAAAAAGAAAAGTGTTATGTCTGGTTGTGTTGCTACAATTACAGCTGGAACTGCTGTGATGTCTTGAAAAACATCTGGTTTGGTGGCACAATTGGTGCTGGAAATGACCCAACGTCCTGTTAAAAAACATCAGATTATTGCGGCACAGTCTGTGTTGGAAATGCCTTGATGTCCTGTTTTGAAACACCGGCACTGGCAATGCTGCAATGTCTCATATAAAAAAAAGAGTTTTGGTGGCACAATTGTGCTGGAAATGCTCCAATGTCCTGCTAAAAACATCAGATTTTTTGCCACACAATCACAGTTGGAAATGCCCCGATGGCCCTCAAAAACCACCTGGTTTTGTGGCACAATCAATGCTAGAAATGTAACAATGTCTTGCTAAATAACACCTGTTTTTTTGTTGTTGTTTGCTAACCTAATACTGGTCTGCAGTGGTCTGCAGCATGGCAGCAGTCCAGTCTCACGTCATCCATCACCCCCTTCACCTTCTGATGACAAAGTCAGTTTATATGCATGTAACCAAAACTACGTCACTTTAAAAACGCTGATGTGACACGTATGCAACATAAAAATACAATGTATCCTTGGTTCGTAAAATACACAATGCCAACATTTCCTTCTGGTGACTAGGCTCAAAGAAGGCTATATGTGCTCAGTGACCTTAATGACCTTTCTTTGACCAATGTGAAATCAAATGTTTTCTCATAATTGATACGTGCAGATCCTGTTTTTGTGCATGTAGCTACAAACCAGCTACTCTGAAACTAAGGCCAATTGCAGCAACCCGAGACAGTGTTTTTATACATATATCATCCCTTTGACCTTTCCCATAGTCTCCCCTTGCAAGAGGAAAGATAAATATCAATTTTGTCCTGTTTCTTCCAGTGTACAGAGCTACCATGATTTGTTGAGTTGTAACAATAATGAAAAAAACAAAACAAAAAAAAACTCCAGTGAGAAAAGTTTATTCATTTAAAAGTTAAATGAGATTTCAGCCTGGGTTTCACTGTAACTAATGTTACCCTCCAAATCAGTGTGTTGCCTTTGTAATCCTGCACAGTTCCTCTCAAAATGTGGAGCAAAAACTCTTATGAATATGGATTATGAAATGGTGTCAAGCCTTTGCAGTTATATATTTGTAAATATCACCAATTTTCTTCTCTTTGATTACATGTTTTGATCCTCAGAATTGACATCAAATTGGGCTCCCTTGTGTATGTGTGGAGGATAAGCTTCAGACAAATATTAACACATTAAAATACTTGAGGACACTAGTTTGCAGCTTGATGAGGGACTCTCTGTGAATCAATCTTGAGACTCAGTCTTTTCAATATCACTGTGCAAAGACATGACTTTCATATACATTTCTGTTCAGGATGGAAATATCCCCCCAAGGTTTATGACTCCATCACCAGCGGTTTCTCTTTGTTTCTCATTTCAAAATCCTGCTGCTTTGGTCTACATGTAAAAGTACTGTTATTGTTTATGTAATAAGACAAGATGAATATTTGTGAAAGAATCTTTGGTGACAAAATTCACACTTCATCTACACAAAGCCGTTCTATGCAGTGACAGCCTTGTAGGACATAAGAACAATGAGAGAATAAAAGCCCCTGCACATGAAGACGTAGAGCTCAGTATGAATGATATGATAATGAGGGGCAGATAACTGCACACTGTGGTTAGTGTGTTACAATTTCACAACCAGCATCTGAGACCACAAGTGATGTCAGTGTGAAGGGTTTTTTTATGGTTAATAATTATTCTCCACCATTATATTTCATCTATTTTGCCCATAATCAACCAATTTAAAGATAATATATCTAATGTCGTAGTAAATGTATGATAAGTCTCTCTGAGATGTGGTAAAGAAAACAAAAAACTTTAAAGTTTACTGAGGTCACCTGACAGCTGATAGTTTCTGGTGAAATGGTGCCCTCTAATGGACAACAGCAGAAACTACAAGCAGAACCAAATACACAGATGAAAACGTGTTCACAGTTTTTTCCTCAAATTTTACTATTCTATTTCTTTATTTTAATATTGTACTTTTCTAATATACCCACCCAACCATTTTTATCTAATTAAATAGAAAATAAAACATATTTTATTTTAATTGGTTTAATATATTCATTTTAAATACTAAAGCTGTTGTCCTGCACTTATTTGTATATTTTTTAGAAGTCATATTTACTAAAAATTTTGTTTTAAAAAATGTATATATATATACTCTGTCACATGTTAATTGTTTATAATTATTTAATTCATTTCCACATTGTAGGAATAAAAGTGTGGTGAAGAAATACTAAATCCCTTTATTTCATTTTGTTGCATAAACACAATTAATTTAAAATATATTAGCTATATTTCAGATACCATCCTGTTAATTTTATTGTTTTAAAGTTAAATTAATTACACTAAATTCTTTTGTTTTAACCTTGTATATTAGATTATTTTATGTATTTTGTTAAATATCCCTTCCTTTTTTATGTTGCATAAACACAGTACATTTGATAGATATGATATTAGTTTGTTTACATATATATATATATTAACCTTTCAAAAACTATTCTAATATCAAGCCATTCTGCATGACTGCTGCATGTAGTGTCCTTTTGTATCTATACATGAACACCACTAGGTGGCAGCATTGAATCTAAATGGACCATGTGTGATCTAATCTGTCCAGCAGTGTGATTTTATGACAAGCAACGATGTACTGAAAAATCATGGACATTGGTGTTTAACTAAAATGGTGAGATGATTGCAACCAAGTTGATGTGCACACCTTCCTTTGACAGTTCCCACTGACACAGTAATGTCTAAGTTTCATTCAATACTTGCACCTCTGATGATGATGATGATGATGATAATAATACCTGAAATAGAAATTAAGAATAAATTGAGGCGTTTTAGGATGACATAACACTTCCTCAAATCCACAACTGTCATCATGGCCTCTATGGCTCTTATTTGAATGTCTGAGCTGAGGTCAGGTCTTCTTGCCCATCCCATGAAACAATCACTACTTATGTCAATGAGCAGCTTGTATCTGTCACATAACCAACATGCTGTCCTCCAGGAACTGATGACAACACTGTAACAATTATTTGTGACTAAAGCCAGTAAGGATGTGAAGATGAAAGTCAGTGACCCCTGACCTTTCTGTTCCTGAATTTCCCTGCTCCACAGACACCCTCAGGCCTGCGTGTAGTGTGTTTATGACCCTGGTCGTAAAATTAAAAGTGAAAATGCTAATTGCCATTTATCACATTTATGGCTCTCTAAACATTTTCAAAACCAGATTTCATCATCTTAAGCAACACATGACTTCTCTCTTTCTGCAGACACACGACTCCTCTCCAAGCACTGTGGGCTCAGTTGATGTGAGAGTCAGATTAGAGAGCTCAGAGGGATGCTGGGTCACAGTGTGGCCGAGAGGAGGAGAGAACCAGTGTGTTATCTCTTTTCTCCAGGCTGTACGACCCAGCATAATGTCACAACTTAAAAAACCCTCACACTATTGTTCACACAATGAGAGGTCTGTATCAGGCCTCTGTGGCCAAACACATTCATGTTTCCTAATTAGCCAGAAACAGCTTTATAGCAGGAAATTGTGGAAAGGAAAAGTTTACTTATTTGTATGTTCATTCATGTTTGGATATTTAAAAAAAGCAATTTAAAGGAAACATCTCAGTTTTCTAGATGTTTCCAGTGGGCTCACACTCCTGTGGTTGAGGAGACTATTATGCCTGAGGGAAACTTGTAGAAAACCACACACATAAGCACGTTTTAATCCAAAAGTGCCACACAATAAATGGCATAACCATGCATAATTTCAGGAGACTAAGCCTAGGAAATTGCAT